ATCTCTTTTAGCCGTAATACCAGCTTGGGGGACAGGAACGCCATTGCTATGGGGCTAGGAGTTGAGCAAGCTGATGATTTTGGGAAGTATCTGGGTCTCCCCTCGGTTATTGGTAGGAACAGGAAAGTTGTTTTTTCATATGTTGAGCAAATATTGAAGCAGAGGTTTGGTTCCTGGAATAAGAGGCTGCTTTCTATGGCAGGTAAAGAGGTACTACTGAAAAGTGTTGCACAGGCTATGCCCACTTACACTATGAGTATCTACCTGTTGCCTATGACATTATGTGCCTCGCTGGAGAGGTTGATGAACAGATACTGGTGGGGTAAAAGCAATGTAGTGGATGGTATTCACTGGATGGCCTGGGATAAGATGTGTGTACCGAAGAAGCATGGTGGCATGGGTTTTAAGAGGCTGCATGAGTTTAACTTGGCTCTACTAGGAAAGCAAGGGTAGAGAATGTTGACTAGCCTGGAGTCCTTAGTGGCCAGGATCTTTAAAGCAAGATATTTTCCTAATGCTACTTTTTATGAGGCCACTTTAAGTGGTAATCCAAGTTATGTTTGTAGAAGTATAATGGCCAGCCATGATCTTGTTCGTAGTGGTTGCAGGCGAAGAATTGGCAATGGAAGAATGACTAAAGTTTAGGACCACCCCTGGTTGCCTGACTCCCAGGATCCGTTTGTACTTTCAGATCAGACTGCGCAACATTCTGACCTGATGGTGGCAGATTTGATAAATTATGAGCACGGGAATTGGAATCAGGAATTAATATCACAAATATTTATTCCCAGGGATGTTAGTTTGATTTTATAGACTCCGGTGTGTGTATTTTAAAGATGATTGGTTCTGGATGGGTGATATAAGGAGAGTTTATACGGTTAAAAACGGTTATAGGCGGCTTGGGGAGATTTATGCCACATGTGATGCAGTATGGAATAACATTTGGAAATTACAGGTACCCCCAAATGGAGAATTTTTCTATGGAGAGCTATCACAAATGTTTTACCAACAATTACTAACCTGGTTAAAAGGAGAGTGGAGATCCCAAATGTTTGCCCTGCTTGTGGTGTGCTTGAAGAGGATGTTATGCACATTTTATGCAATTGTGTTTATGCTAGACGTGTGTGGAATATTTCACAACTCCAAATCCCTAACTTTGGTGATCATGATTTTATGCAGTGGGTGGAGCTTTGGTTGGGGAACTCAGCAACATCTGCTGGTTTTATAAAAGATCAGATTTGTGGAATACTTTACAAGATATGGAGGGCTCGAAACATGGCTGTTTGGGACCTTGCATTACCATCCCCGTTGCATCTTTGTGTCTCGTTTCATAACATCTGGGCTGCTTGGTCATCAACCACCGCCCACTCCCGTACTGCCGTGTCACCGCCGACTGCCACCTTGCCGCAACCTGTGACCGAACACCCGGCGATGCAGCTGCCCCAAGACACAGTTGTATGCAGTACACACGCTGGCTTCTATGGCTCACAGCACGCCCCGACCTTTAGCTTCTATATACGCAACTTGGACAACGTCTTTGTTGCAGCAGCTAATGGCCCCCTCTCTTGTCCGTATGACCCCCTCTTAGCCGAGGCTATGGCGATACGTGAGGCTCTATCGTGGCTGCAGGATCACAATTATCAAAACGTTCTTGTTTTATCGGACTGTGCAGTTCTCGTTGCTAGCTTTCGGGATGCCAGTTCCTATCGTTCGTATCTTGGCATTGTTTTAGATTCCTGTTTACGTTTAGTTAATTCTTTTTCTGCTTGCTCTATCAAGTTTGTACGCAGAGGCACCAACTTGGTCGCTCATGCATTAGCTAAGCATGTAGGTGCGGTTCAGACACGTTCTGTCTGGAGGGAGTCTCTACCTCTGTTTATCCCTTCTGATTTAAGTTAATATATGAAGTTTTTGGTTTTCAAAAAAAAAAATGTATGACATTTGTGTGTATAAGTATTACATTTTCATATTGACCCGACTCGTCGCACGGTGAGACGGTCTCACACAAGTTTTTGCCTTGGAAATTAGCGTTAATAGTCATAAATTAAAGGTATATTCAATCAAGATTTTTATATACTTTTAAACATTTTAACGACTTTAAAAGTTTGGTGGTATTCGATTTCGATTTTTAAAGACTCTTTAAAAGTCAATCGGTATTCAATTAAATCAAATACCACTCAATTTTTTAATTTTTTTTAAAAAGCTTGATTGAATACCACTTAACTTTTAAAAACTCCCTAAAAATTTGAATTGAATACCTTCAAACTTTTAAAGTTCATAAAAGTCTATGACAGTCCAGATTGAATACACCCCCTTAATTAAGATTTTTAAAAACTCAGTAAAAGTATACCGGTACTGGATTCGGACTTTTATAGAGTCTTTGAAAGTCTACTAGTATTCAAAAACTTATTAACATCCAAATTTTATGGTAAGTTGCATAACTTTTATATATATATATATATATATATATATATATATATATATATATATATATATATATACATATATATATATATATATATATATATATATATATATATACATATATATATATATATATATACATATATATATATATATATGTGTATATATATATATACATGTATATATATATATACATATATATATACATACATATATATATACATATATATATATATATATATGTATATATATATATATATATATATATATATATATATATATATATATATATATATATATATATATATATATATATATATATACACAAAAATGCGACCGCTTGTTTTCTTAATCTATTAGATCTGGACACGTGTCGCACGCGGATTCATTCGCATATTCCCTCCTGAGCACTTATTCGCACCTGAGTGCATCCCCCTATATATGTATGTATGTTTGTATGTATGTATGTATATATATTATATAATATCTATATACGTCAAGGAATGAGAGAGGAATACAAAAATGTATGAACAATTAATTATTGAGACACTCATTGATTGAATGAACTGTAATTGATAAACTACCATACAAATTGACATTGGCCCTGTTTGGTAAAATGACTGTTAGTTGATAGCTGTTAGTTGTTAGCTGATTGTGTTAATTAGAGGGTATAAATAGTTGATAACATTAGCTGATTGTAGAAAAGTGTTTGGTAAATTAGTTGTTAGCTGATAGCTGTTTGGTATAATTTTTTTCTCAAAAAGCTAATTGAAAAAGTTGCTTGGAGTATCATTTTGAGTTTTAGCCTTTTGGAGTTACAAAAAGCTAATTAACCAAACATTTATATTGATATTTTAACTAAATCAAACAATTAATGGTGGTCAAATAAGCCAAAATTGACCTATAGACCAAATTTTTTACCAAACAGGGCCATTATATTTATAGGAATATTTCTATTTAACTTTCTTAAAATAACTAACAATTAAACCCATGCATCATCGTACTAAAGTGACTAACCACTAATTGCGTTAATTAAAATAATAGTTAATTTCATTTTTGGTGCTAGATTTATTGGTGATAGTCTATTTTTACTTAATTTTTTATCAGAACATTAACCTTTTATCCTAGTATTATTGTGACATGACTATTTTTGGTCCTCCGTCAATAAAATCGTTAAAATGTCATTAAATAGAAACATATTTCGATAATTTTTATACAAATCGAGTTGACCATGCTATATTTTTATGTTTATTTAAAAAAAAAAAACTGTAATTGAAGACCAAAATGCTTTTGTATTTAAGGACGTTAAAACTATTTTGTTGATAGATGACCAAAAATGGTCATGCCACAATAATACTAGGACCAACTGTGAACGTTCTGATAAAAAAAAAAAAAAAAACTAAAAGTTGATTGTCGCCTATAAAGCTTAGACCAAAAATGAAATCAACTCTTAAAATAACTAATAATCACAAACTTTTTACTTGGTTTAATATATAACTAGTAATTCACCCGCGCGATGCACGGGAAAAAATTCTGTTATTATAAATATAAATAAAAAATAAAAAAAAACTAAAATATTTTAAATTGTTTAATATAATAATATTTTTGAGCTTCCATTGGTCTAGTATTTATTATTTTTATAGAATACAAAATTACAATTAAAATTAAAATTTTGTATGGTTAATATAATCTCTAATTATGTGCATATTCAAATAAACTTATAGAGAGAATTTACATAATTACATAGATTTATTCTTAATTGTATTTTATCTATATTATAATTTTCACAATATGAATAATAACTAAGATAATTACATTTGACCAGGACTATGTGGTCTAATGGTACCCGAGTTAGACTTTCATTTGGAAGGTTGTAAGTTTGAGCCTCAGTCGAGGCGTTATTAGCTCTTTGTGATACTACAATGTAATAGAGCTAGTAGCTAAATTTAAACTCTAAGTGAACACATGTTTTATATAATATATAGCTATTTTATTTTTCAAAAGTACATTTTTTTATATGATTATATAATATATAGCTATTTTATTTTTCAAATGTTGTGCCTTTTTTTTTTTTAATAATAAAGGATGTTGTGGCATTAATTGTAACATTAATTACTTCCCAAACCATATAGCTTTATTATAATAACTAGTATGTACCCGTGCGATGCACGGAAAATACATAGAAAACTCTAAGTTATATTAATATTGAATAATACTTTAAAAATCAAAATGAAACTTTTACATATAATTAAATATTGTTTTGAAATTTTCATTTCAAATGTGTAAGTAGTAAAATAAAATTTTATTTTAAATAATAAATTACCAAACAAACGGAATTTTGTACATTATTGAAAACTTCTTTATAAACAACATTAGTGGTGGTAGTACATGTCTCTTTTAATTCGTCACAAATCAAAATTTTTAGACCTCGTGGATTGCTAACTCTTGATATAGCAACATACAATTGACCATGAACAAACACTGATTTTTTAAGTAGCAATCCTACATGAGATAGTGTTTGTCCTTGACTTTTATTAATGGTCATTGCATAAGAAAGCGTCAAAGGGAATTGTCTTCTAATGAATTTGAATGGCAATCTTGGATCTGAAGGAGTCATATTCAACCTCGGTATTAACACTCTAGTGCCAGCATGTTTACCTGACATTATTTTTCCTTCCACAACATGTTCTGATAGTTTGGTCACCACTAACCTAGTACCATTGCATAAACCGAGTGAGTGATCTATATTTCTCAACAACATCACCGGTGATCCAATTTTTAACGTCAATGCGTGATTAGGAATACCAGATGCGCGCAGTCCATTCAAGAATTCCAGTGTGTGGACATCTGCAAGAATCCCATTGCTCGTTTCCGTACGGCAGACAGAATCGTAACTGAAGAATGTCTTGCTTTCTGCCGTATGCATGTCACTCATGTAGTCATTAATTGAATTAACAACATCAAGTGTAGGAGCCAAGATTGCCTGATTTTCAATAAAGCTGGTATCATGATCTCCCTCCTTAAACATTGGAAATGTGTTGTCTACAATTGTGGCAATCGGATCACCCGTTGATTGCAATAACAAATTTTGTGGAATATCAATTTCTGGACAATCTTCATTAGCACACCCAACAGTTCCATCGCCAATTGAAGCAATCCATCTAGCAAACTGCTCAACTTCTTGTTGTTCAATACCATGTTCCATATTACTCAATCTTAAATTTTTTGTCAACTTTAAAACTCTACAACTGTTCCAAAGGTATGAGGAATTTATAGATGCACCAACAATGTCCTGTCGTGTACCTTTTGGGACAACTGGTAAAATTTGCCTAAAATCTCCACCTAGAACAACTGTTTTACCACCAAACGTATTTGATGCACTGGTGTGGTTTGAAAACCGTAATAAGTCCCTCATTGTCCTATCCAATGCTTCAAAACAGTGTTTGTGCATCATGGGTGCTTCATCCCATATTATGAGTTTTGCCCTAACAATTAACTCCGCAAGGTCGCTACCTGGAGTTATGTTGCACGTGGAGTCCTCGTTAATATTTATTGGTATTGCAAACCTTGAGTGTGCAGTTCGTCCACCTGGAAGAAGCAGAGAAGCTATACCGCTTGATGCGACATTTAAAACTACATCACCATTTGACCGCAAAGTCGCAGATAAAGCTCTCCATAAAAAAGTCTTACCAGTTCCACCGTAACCATAGACAAAAAACAAACCACCAGCGTTTGAGGCAACATCACCAATTATTGTTTCATAAACAGACCTTTGTTCATCAGTAAATTTCATGGTCAAGTTATATGCCTCATTTGCAAGCTCTTCCCGATTATAAGATAATTCCTCAAACAACAAACGGTTAACAGATAACCGAGAATTATCTAAAGCTGGAATTGGCATTGGAGGAAATTCCTTTAAAGACTTATTGTGTATTTGCAACAACTTTTCAATCTCAAGAAGACCAAAATTTTTCTTCTCATCATCTGTCAGTATAAGATCTGTATTCCAAAAGATAATAAAAGGTTACGTTAATTAAAAGTATACCTTTTATTAGAAAAATTAATATAAACAACTATAACCTAAGGAATTGTTAATATGTTAACAGTACCTGGTTGAGAAAGTACCCTACGGAGAGTGATTTGTGCGTCCTCAGCTAGGTAAACCCACACCTCATTCCATACATTTTCTGGTCTATTCAATGAATTGAACATCAACAATGTCACAAAAAGTTTTCTCATGGGATGCGCGGATGACCACTGACTGGCCTCTTTTATGGCATCAATGTATTCTTTATCATCATCTAACAACCCCCGTGCATAACATGCATCTCTAAAAGTGACATACTCTACCCCATTAAATGAACGGATATCTTTAAAACTCATAGGTCCACGAACTATATTAAGAAGACACCTCAAATAATATAATTCGCCAGTTCCCGGCGGAACGTAAAAGATACGACTAATTGAAAAGCCTTTTTTTCTTGGATGCCATTGCCATATGTCCTTTTTCCAAACAAACTTACTGGGCATCTCAATGTTTGTTAACAACCTTGCTTCTGCATATTTTTTGTTTGCTTCAAACCATTCATTGAACATACTTTGACCAACAGTATGTCTACGGAGCACATCTTCAATCGCATCATCATCGGCAAAAACAACTGTTTCACAATCTGGAAGATGAAAGCTTAATCTCTCAACTGCAGGTGTTCTAAATTGCACATCAAAGCTAAAGAGACGCCATGTAGCCTCACATGAAGATACGTATCGACAATCATAGTACATATTTATCTCATCTATGACTTCATTACCACAATTGTCAATCGTACTTTTATAAAATTCGGCTGTTACACGGTCATTTCCTTTATTCACATACTTGAACAAATATTTGATAGATCTTGATTGATTACACCACTCAACATTTAGCTGTGCCCTGTATTTAAGAAGCAAGTACCTATTATGCGGTACCACATATCTATTATCCAAGTGAATTCCATTCTTGTTAATTGTCATGCCATCATCACGACGCCTATAAATTGGATAACCATCTTGATCGAAACTTGAAAATTCACTAAATTTTTTTGGAAAGTGCTTTGAACACTTCCCGTTCACCATGCACGGTGACTGCCTCCACCATGTCCACATTGATGCGGCCCAACATATGAAGATCCATTAAGAGTACTAATTGGGCCAATCACAAGGCCCAAGTCCAAACAATTAAGGCAACTCTTCATTTGTGATGTTCAAAGATGGTGGAAATCCAAGTCAAGCCCATTTGCAAAATATGAAGAAGAACTCAAGGCTTTTTTATAATTGTTTAAGTGCTAATTTTGGTGATTAAATTAGGCCCAAATCAGCCCTATTATTTTTGGTCATCATTAATTTAAATTGTTTGGAATTAAAGAGAAAACACTAGTTGTATTTAGAAAGGATTCCTTAAATCCTTTTCTAAATAAAATTCTATTTACTTGTTTTCTAGATTAGGTTTAGGACTCTTTTTTCCATTGTATTTAGAATTATAATGCTGCCCCTATACCTATAAATAGGGCACATCCATATCAGTTTCAGGGAGGCTTCAATTCAATAAAATTCTTAAGTTTTTCTTTACACTTGTGTAAGAAACCTTATGGCTAATTGTGGACTCAATTAGTGGCTAGTCGTGGACTCGACTAGCAAATTGATTCGTGGACTCGAATCAATCTTCCTTTCTTCAACCTTAGATTTATGTTCGTGGACTCGTTCTTGAATCGAAGGAAACTAGATCCGACTCTAGTTGATTGAAAATTGCATCATCGAGGTACTTGAAGCTACAACGGGATTCTTCCAAGTCTTTGAGGATTCGAGACAAGAGGTTTCTCGTGAGGTCTAAGGTATTTTGATCCATCTCTATCTTTAGTTTTGAGAGCATTCTTGGGACAATATTCCATCTTATTTGAACCTTGGACTAGGTTCATATCAATTTGGTATTCAGAGCCTAGGTTTATCTCATTATCATTAGAAATTTGGTTTCTTTGGTTCCCTAGGTTTATCTCGTTCTTATCTTACATACTACCTTTATTCGTGTCTTATTCATTAAAAACCCCCAAAAAAAATTTTCCTTTGCATTCTTGATTATGTTCTTGAATCTTGATACATGTTCTCCAGTTTCTTGAAAAACAATCTCGAAAGAGTTTTCCCTTTTTCCCGTCCAATATCAACGATACTTCACACCTCCTAAGCACCATATTACCCCAAATTCAGTAAAGAAAACAACTCCATCTCACCCTTACCTATATCCAAAGCGCATGTACGCGCAATCACGTTGCAATTACACCCTGTCCAGATTTCCGTGTTCTGTGACCAGTTTCAAAGAATTACCTATATCTCGAGATCCACTGGTTAGTTTTATTTGAAATTTTGATATGTTTTACATATCTTCTGGGGCGTTCTATTGATATATTATACACTTGCTAATTCCTTACGGTCATTGAGATATTGATCTTCGAAATAAGGGCAGCGTTTCTGTTTTTTTCTGGGTGATTCTTGAAATTCTTGGTTCTGTTTTGAAGGGGTTGTGTGGATCCTCTTGGTCCAAAATTTTTGTTGATATTTACAGTAGTTATTTGGAGGTTATTTATCAAAAAAATCAAAAAAAAAATCAAGAAAGTTGAAAAAAAAAAGAAGAAGAAGAATAAGGTTGGGGAAAGAATAAGGGTGGTAGGAGAATCTTGGAGGGAAAAGGAAAGGGAAAAGTATAAGGTTGGAAGGAGTTCTTGATAGATTCCTACTTTGTTGTGGTATACTTGAACCCCTCTTACATTTTATTTGTCTCTATCTGTTGATATTGGTCTTGCATATCTTTCTGCCATACTTCCTTCTTTGGTTTCCTTTTTCTTTCAAATCTTATTTAGTTTCTTTGCTCGTATTGTCCTTTTTTCTTTGCTTCTTGCTCTCAATTTTATTACCTACCTCACGATACATCCTTACTCTCAAAGGCTTGTGAAGTTTTCCAAGGTACGCTTTTCTTGAACTTTGAGGTTGAATCCATATCAACTTGAGTTCCGGACTAGAAACTTTCCTTTTTGGAAAAAGGCTTGTGAGAGTATTTGCCACCTGGAGTGATACACGAGTGGAGTGTGTGTTTGTAAGAGTGTGTAGTGAACCCCCAGAGCTATATGATCCATCTCTTACCCGTGAGCTGAGAATAGTGAGGGAGCAAGCCAACTTTGTGGTTTCACTAACATGAATACTCACATATCTTCTTGTTTTTAGATTTTGTTTCTTATCTACAGATGGCTGAAGAGGTTCCAAACACACGTAAGAGATTAGAACAAAAAATAGACAGGTTACTCAAATGAGTGACTAGTTTGGAGCAACACTCACAGCAAGTGCAACCACCACACAATGATGAGCGGCACCTGCCATCAGCAAGAAGAGTGGATCCTAGATGTCAAAGGATCCAGCAGCGTAATGCGGAGTTAGGAAACATTAAACTTGAAATTCCTAACGTCACTGGTGAGAAAGGACCTACCGAATACATAGAATGGGAGAATGCTGTTGAAACTCTTTTTTATTTAAAGCACTATTCTAATCTTACAAAAATTAGGCTAGTTGCTACATCCTTTAAGGGGTATGCATTGTCTTGGTGGCGAAAAAGAAATAGAGACAGAGTTGCTAATTTTATTCCTATGAATCTTGGGTTCAAGTGAGGGAAGATATGCGTCTAACCTTTCGTCCTAAATCATTTTTGTATGTTCTTGAAAGAAAATTGCAGAGAACGGTGCAAGGAACAAAGTCAGTTGATGAGTACCACCAAACTATAAATATTTTGCTTAAACAGAGAGACATACATGAAGAAGAGATAAAAACTGTTGCTCGTTTCGTACATGGATTGAACTTAGAAATTCGATGTGGAATGAGTTTTCAGAGATATGACACCCTTTATGATGCCTTGTATACTGCACGTGAATCTGAGGCAAAAATCAAAGAGATGAAAAGGTACAAGTCCAACAATGGTGCATCAGGATGGAACAACACTTGTTCCACCCCTCAAAGGCATGATGAACATCCTCCTCCAAGAGATGATTCACAAGACAAAGGTAAGGAAAAAGTAAGTGAGGCGTCAACATTATAAAGAATTGATTTGTTATAGATGTAATGGGGGAGGCCACATAGCTCGTGATTGCCCTATCAAGAGGGTAGTTAAGATAACAACACAATCTGAAAATTTTACTTCTTGTCTTGAATATAAATCTGAGGAAGAGGTTTGTGACCATTTTGAAACCCCCAATGAACATGTTGAGGGGGAACCATTTATACCTTTAAAATCTGATTCTAAGTATGCTGATAGTGAGTCTAGTCATACTGTTGTTGTTAAGGAGGTTTTGAATGTTCACCCTTTAAAAGAAGATGAGTCTCAAAGAGAAAATATATTTTTTGCTAAAGGTTCAATTAAAAGGAATGCTTGTACTGTGGTAATAGATTCTGGAAGTTGCACAAATGTGGCTAGTGCAGCTATGGTTAAATTTGTTCAGCTACCTTTGTTTGATCACCCAACTCCCTATCGTTTTCAATGGTTAACTCATGCAGGAGAAGCTAGAATAACCAATTAGGCTCTTATTCCTTTATCTATTAACAGTTACTCTGATAAAATCTTGTGTGATAATATTCGAATGCAGGCTGCTCATATCTTGTTAGGTAGACCATGGCAATTTGACAGAAAAATAAGTTCTTATGGAATGAGGAACACTTGTGTGTTTCACATGAATGGAGTTACATATGTCTTTCCTTGTTTGTATCCTGAACAAGTAGAAGAAATTCAATTGACATTGATGCAAGCTCTCAAACTAGCCTCAATGAAAGTAGAAATCAAAGAGAGAAAAGTGGAACCTCCATGTTTAGAATTGGAGTCACCACTCCAGTCCTCTAACTTAGATTGTAGCCAAACAAAGGAACCGCTATCAGTGGTACAGTGGAAAGAACCAGCCAGAGCTATCAAAGTGCAGCCTCGCTTGCTAACAAAAAAGGATAATAAGCAAGAGAAAAGAAGGGGAGTAACTATTTACTCACTTTTATTTCAAAAGCATGCATTAAAATTCTCTAGATTTGTTTGCCATGTTTCTATTAATGACCTACTTGCTAGATGTGTTAGAAATTTGTTTGCCTCCATACATCCAAGATTCCTTAATTTTGATTTTACTAAAACTTTATTTGATAGAGATAAGGAATCACTTGGAAGTTATAAGGCACTTTTGAAAACTTCTTATGGCAAATACTACTTGCACAAGGGGTTTTGGTTCAAAATCAATGGGATTGGCACTTTTTGCTTTGTTTTGGACAATGATTTAATTGTTGATTCACATAAGGGACATTTTGATTTTCCAAAGACTGATGATGTTTTGCATGGATATTTTCATTGGCCAAAGAAGAAAAAAGATGTAGAATCTTATGTTCAGAATTGTGCTACTTACCACCATAATACATCTAAATCATTAATTGATATTTCCATGAATTTTCTGTTTGATTTTACCTTAAGCTCTAGGAGGAAAGATTTTATGCTTGTTGACAATTCAAACAAGATGCATAAATTTAATGTCTCATTTTGTTGAATTATTACCATCCAGAATGTTTAAATTCCCTGATGTGTCATTAGACTTAATTGCCTTACTTGTTGATTGTAGGATGATGATTGGAGCGACTCGTGTCAAGCATCCCAAGAAAAAGTTCCATGAGCGTGATAAAACAGAAAGTGAGCTTGCTACTTTGTCTTTCACTGAAGATTTGGATTCGAGGACGAATCCTTTTCAAGAATGGGAGAATAATAGGAACCAGTACACATGGAATCCAGTAAGGGTAAATAGTGGGCTCATCACAAGGCCCATAACTACGACCTTAAAACATCATTGGTGGAAGAAACAACAAAGACCAATAATAAGTCCATTCGATAGAGGAAAATATTATAGTGGTCAATTTCAAGTGATATCATGGATCGAAGACAATGCTTACAAGATTCGAGGTCGAATCATTTTCAAGAAGGGGAGGATGATGCGGCCCAACATATGAAGATCCATTAAGAGTACTAATTGGGCCAATCACAAGGCCCAAGTCCAAACAATTAAGGCAACTCTTCATTGGTGATGTTCAAAGATGGTGGAAATCCAAGTCAA